CTTCCTACTCCTTAACCCCCCTCCCCTGCCCCCTTCGACCTAACAATCTATTGGAGGGGGGAGGGGGGGGGTAAGGAAGGAAGATATAATCTCTCGGGCATATTAAGAGCCCGGGCGGCGAGGGCGGGGCAGTGCGTGTGTGTTCGCGGATTAATTAATGAGATGGGCTGAAGAAAATCCCCGATGGAAACTGTCTGCGTGTTATCCGCTCGCCTCGTATCGCCCGTTACCTTTCATTATCTGTGTTCATTCTCTGGCATTGTCTCTGTTCATTAGGGTGGCATTATCTTTATTCTTTATCTGGTATTATTTTTTTTCTTCATTATCCTGCATTATCTTTTTTCGTTATCCTGCATTATCTTTTTTCATTACCTTTCATTATCTTTACTCCTTATGTGGCATTATCTTTCTTCATTCTCTGGCTTTATCTTTATTCTTTATGTGGCATTATCTTTCTTAATTACCTTTCATTATATGTTCATTCTCTGGCATTATCTCTATTCATTACGTGGCATTATCTTTACTCATTATCCTGCGTTATCTTTTTCCATTACCTTTCATTATCATTATTCATTATCTAGTTTTATCTTTATTAATTATCCTGCTTTATCTTTATTCATTATTCTGCTTTATCTTTATTTTTATTCATTGTCTGGCATTTTCCTTATTTATTATGTGCCATTATCTTTACGGATTATCTGTATTCCATTTCATCAGTTTATTACATATTATGCCCTCATCGCCTGATACAATCTTTACAGTCCATATTAGCCATATGTCTCCCACACGCGAATTTCATTAATTAAACTAATCTAGCGAATTTCCGTCCTCACTAAACGTCACTCACACCGGTGTTAGTATTCTGTTAGTATTCACTCTATTCATCGGATTTATCGTTTCCGATGGGGGGGAGGGGAGGGGTGGGGTGTGGGTGGAGGGGGGTTGGGGGTGTCCTGTTTCCTCCGGAGGTGCTGTGGCGCTTCTAATGGAATAGGGTAAAGGGGAGGAGGGAGGGGGGGAGGGGGGAGGAGGGGAAAGGTGTGTGGGTCACAGGTCGCGAATCTGCCGAAACAGGGTTGGGGGGGGGGGGGGGTGAAGTGCCAATTTAACGAGGTCGGCCAAGGAGGAGGAAAGAATAGAGGAGAAAATGGTATCTCCTTTTTTTCCAACTTGCATTTAGTTATTTGATCTTTCTCCCTTCTGCCAAATGTTGCCCATTTTTCATTAATAATTATTCATTATGTCCTCTGAGTCTGAGTCTGATATAATCATTATAGTTTATATTAGCCTTATTTCTCTCACGGATTTAAATTTATGAAACAATTTATTAAGATAAATATGAGGAAAAGTTAAAGAAATTATATATTCGAAAAAAATATATAGCCAAAATGCAAAGTCAATCATATAAATTGATATGCCAATAATACAACATCTGAGTTCATTATAATCCAATACAATAACTATACCACCTTGAATATCCAGCTATTGATTTTAACAAATAGCTTGCCACTTTACTCTAAATGCTAACATGCAAACAACAATATAATTTTCAACTTCAGTAAGCTGTTATTAATTATGAATTTAGAACAGACAATATTAATACTGAGAATAATCATAAGCAATAATTAAAATAATTCCCTTTTCACATGCAATTACTGATATAGAAATAATTGTTTCTGTTATTTAGTAAATAAATTGCATCACAAAAAAATGATAAGTTAAATTATATATAAGCAAGATGAGATACTTAAACCAGGCAATTGAAATACTAAAACTTAAGATTATCTCCATCAAATAGTAAATGAGTTATACTTAATCAAGTAATTATAATTAAATCAAGCAAACACCTTATTCTAGAAAATACTTAACGAATACCTACATTAATCAAACACAAAATTATTAATACGCTTCACTATAAATCAACAATCTTCATCACTGTTAGAATCGCACTTCCGTTCAGGCTCTTAAAAGTAGCTATAGTCCTTGCAAAGTCATTCTGTTTTTGATGTTTCGTCCAGGCTTCTTTGTTTCACTCGTTCATGGAGCATCCGCTTCGCCCTCGCGTAGTTCATGTTATAAGGCCTTTGAGTGTCTATGGCAGCATTATTTTCATCCAATATGTGGTTTTATCTCTATTCATTATGTGGCATTATCTTTATTCATTATCTGGCATTATTTTCATTCATTATCCGGCATTATCTTTATTCACTATCTGTATTAATTATCTGGCATTTTCTTTATTCATTATCTTTATGCATTATGTTTTGTTATATTTGCTTATTAACTTCCATTATCTTATATATATTTTCCCACATTATTTTTTCATCTTCTTTATTCATTATATTCATTCATTATCTTTCACTATCAATATTTATTCATTATCAATATTCGTTATCTTTTATTCTTTATTCATTATTTCTTTCATTAACTTTATTTATTGTCTCTCATAATCTTTATTGCTTGTGTCTTATTTCGTTAACTTTGTCAACAACAATATCAG